TTAAGACTCAAAACCTTTTACATTTGGGTGACTCGACAGGATCCAAACTATGTTTGCAGCAAGCAGTTTTTTGTGGCTTAGTCTTTCATGGAGCAAGTCTTGATTTCTGTTTTAGGTGTCCATGGCATGGTTGCTGTAATTGCGTCTCTGCTGCCAGTCTGGAGAGAGTAACACAAGTCCGAACAGCGGTGGTGGCATTCTGTCCCTGCTAGAATTAGAAGTAGTCCCACTAGACATTTAACACTGTGGCTCCTTGAGCAGCTAAGCTGGCAGAAGTCAGCGGTGCTGCCCTGCTCTGCCTTCTCTCTGTGCTAGCACAAGTGCCAGCCAAACAGTGAATTGGTCTGAGGAACTAAGCCAAGTTAAAAGTAACCCGGAGGGGGGAGGAAAAAACGGGTAGAAATTAATTTTAATCCAGGTTAGTGTCCAGATTATAATTATATGAGTACCCCTGCTGGCACATGAAGAAGGCTAGATGATCTAAGATCATTCTGTGTGTTTTGATCTAATGGTTGATCTGTGGCCACTGAAGAGTGATTATAGAGTCTGTTTCAAAACCGAAGGAAGGAATCAATCTAACAGAGAAACTTACTTGCTTTGTTTACCCAGCACAGGGGTTTGTATGCACAGCTGAAAAGTTTTCAAACAGTGAGCAGTTGGTCATGGGTATTGTAATTTGTGTGATACTCTGCATGCCTAGTCTTGTATTTTTAAAGATTACTGCTTTCTTTTGTGGATGAGACACAGGCCTTTAGTACCTCTATAAAAATGCATGCTTTGAAACATGAAAGAGGAAATAAAGCAGTTAAAAATGAATAAACTCTGGGTGCCCGCAGGTTGAAGGTGAATGGATGAGCTGGACATAAATTTCTGTTGTTAAAAACAAGCAGGTGAAACTTTCTGTCTTGCATTTTCTCCAGGTTTTTAAGCTGGAGTTTTGTTTAGTTAAGAGATGCAGCTCTTAATAACTGTTAAAGCAAAAATATAAATACTGGAATTTTTGAGGTCTGAATCTTAAGATTTTGACTTTTTTCTCAAGTAATTTGTGCCATTACTAAATATGGGAATAAGAGATTAATTTCTTTTGCTACTTCGGATATTTGTAGTTTGAGCAAAGTTAGTTAAGAGATGCAGCTCTTAATAACTGTTAAAGCAAAAATATAAATACTGGAATTTTTGAGGTCTGAATCTTAAGATTTTGACTTTTTTCTCAAGTAATTTCTGCCATTACTAAATATGGGAGTAAGAGAATTAATTTCTTTTGCTACTTTGGATATTTGTAGTTTGAGCAAAGTAAGCTACCTTCAGATCAGCTTGCTTTCAGTTCTCTGTTTATCGAGCAGGTCTTTTGTGTCTGGGAAATCTGAAAGGAACACAAAGTCATGCTGAAATGTTAGTTTAGACTTAGATTTTTCTCCTTGTGTACAACTGCTTGTCCATCTGACGCTTTCCCTTTAATGTGCAATATCTTTTCCTCCTAATAAAACATCCTCTTACAACTGTAATGAGCACAGGGATTTCTTGTGTGTGTGGTTTCAGTGATGAAGTACCAGCTGTGCCACGCTGAGCTTTGGCAATGCCTGTGGCTTTGTAATACTGTATTTTCAAATTAATAGATAACTGTTCAGTACTTGTTTTCTAAATTATGCCATTTATTGCTAAATACTGTAAATAAAAACTTGAAATGATAGCCAACTGGACTTTTATATAATGTTCAGTGGATATCACACACTTCAGAGAAATAACAAGTTAATCTGAAGTGAGATAATCTAAAATGTTCATTGTAAAATGAAGTGAGAACTGCAGCATGTGACGTAGACTTCACTTCAGAGCCAAGTCGATGTGGAGGAAGCTTTTGTTTCTACTAGTGCTCTGAATATGTTTAGATACCACCTTATCAAAGATGGCAGTGAAACAGTAAATACTCAAACAATTCCTTGCGGAGGAATCCACTTCTGTTGGCTATAATTGTGAAGCCAACTTTTGGCTTCTTAGTTGAAAGATCCTATGTCTCTTCCCTTTCTTCTTCAGCAACAAAACATACACGCACACCCCCACCCCATGCAGACTAAGTTTTTGGAAGGAAGAAACAGCGATAGAAACATCCTTTATTCTACCATTCTCCTGGTATTTTGAATCAGTTTTCTCCGCGTGAGTAAAGGTATATTGGTTTTCTCAGGCATTGTTATGAAAGTAATGTTTTCAGCCTTACTGCTAGTAATGGTCTCCGAACAGGTTATTGGACACTTTTGATCTAGATAAGTTCAGAAAAGTAATTGCCAGAAAAGCAGTAGTGGCATTACATCCACAGTATGAAGAAAGCGGGCTTATGCTTCTGTTGCATTTAGTAGATGTTTGTGTAGCTCTTTCAGGTTAAATAAAGTTATGGTTGAGTATTTTTTAATTTCCTCTCCCTTCCCTCAGTGAGGTTGACATTTCTGTGGTGTGTGTTTCAATACTGATGGTGAACCATGAGTAAAGCCACTGTACTTGGAGAGAAAACTCCTTCTTGTGGTTTTAATGAAAGTAGTTCTTCCTGAAATCTCTGGTTTGATGAAAATTCTGTGCCGGTCTTAAATTTTACAGATTTGGCCTGGGTTCCTGGTGGATTGTCTTCCTTGGGCTTAGAGGTGAGCCGGCTGGTTGGGGACGGGGACCGGGCAGTGCGGAGGAGCTGTGTCCTGCTTGGAGCCGGGGTCTGCAGGTCCCAAGTCTGGGCAGTGGAATGGCTGCTCTCACTGAGTTCCTGGTCCTGCTGGGGGCTGTGAAATGGACGGAAGGGTCCATTTCTCAGAGTAGTTGAAGTATTTAGGGAGCAGGTTTTGTTTTGAAACTGGGACAGGTATCGCTTCCCCTACGAAATCTTCTAGTAACAGCATGAAGGGGTGAATGTGTGTGTGAGGGGGGAATTATGTTCATTGCACATGGAGCCAAGCTGAAACTATGTTTTTTGTTTGGCCTTGTTTTGTGGGATTGTTTTTTTTTTTCCAGATTGTTACACAGATCAGATTCCTTTTTAGGCTTAAAAGGCATCTCCTACAAACAAGCTGTTTCAAAGCAAAGATTGAACTTGATGCTGTCATGTTGCTCTGAAGTGGTCTGACTTCAGTATGGGAGTTCATTCGGATTTTGTAATCCGTTTTGGTTTTGCAAGTTTTGTGTGCAATTAGTTTCTAGTCACTCTTTATTTTGACTTTTTGGCACCATTTTGAACCTTTTGCTCTCTAGACGTCATGAAATTTGTGTATTCTGAGTTCTTCACTGTACTTTCTCTAGTGGTGAAAATTCTGTCCTGTTATACCTGGAAGGCACGTAATAACTATTTTTTTTAATTTGCAGTTCAGTTACGTTCCTCTAGCTGTCCCAAATAAGGTAGACAATTTCTTTACTAGTCAGAATATATAAGTTTGAGATAGAATCATAGAATCTGATGTGGGAGAGTGTGTTCTTACGGTTTCCCAAGTCTTGCTGCTTGTATGTTTTACCACCACTCCAGCTCTTACTTGGGATTATTTTGGATAATTTTTATAATTTGTTGAGTAAAGAGGCTGCAGGAACATATATCCCTTGCTCGTATTTGTTAACACAATTGATAGTTCACTAGTCTGGCAGTAGCCTGAAAATAGTATTACTGCTTGCTTTTTCAACTGTCATCTGGAAAGAAAAGAGAACTTTGCTAAAGAAGTGTGTGCATGAGATGGAGATGGAGAGGTTAAATGTTGAAATCTTTGTTTCATGGTTTTACAGGACAGGGAA